GGATGGATGGCGAAGAGATTGAGATTGTTCACAGCTTCAGTTTGCTCGGCTCCACAGTCAACACTCTTGGCACCAGCAGCCAGGAAATTAAAAAAACCTATCGCGATGGTAAAGTACACTCATGCAATGGAATATTACACAGCACGCAGGAGCAGTGATTTTGTAAATTGCCACCTAACTTGGGAGTGACTGGAGAGCATTATGCTGAGTGAACTACCTCAATCTCACGAAGACAAATACTGTATAAAACCATTGCTGTGTAATGAGTATGAGGATCCAAAGCAGAGGTAGGAGGGTGGAATAAAGGGGTGAGAATGGCTGGGTAGAGTGTTAACCATATGGTTGCACAATTTGATGTGTGAGTTGTGGTGTGTATATGGGAAAGATCTTTTGCGAAAATCAATATATTCAAACTTTGTAAATAAATCAGAATAATTTTTTTTTTTTAAATTTGGATCAGAGAACTAGGTGTAAAACTTAAAATAAGGGTCAGCCATTAGCACCAGCTAAAATATGAGAACAGCATAGTTGAGTCCTGACCACCTCCCTGAATCTTCATCTTCTCAGGTAGGAGTGACTCTGTTCTGAATAGACACAGAAGAGAACAGTGTGAGGATTCACCAAGAGCACCAACTGAGATGTGGGAGCTACATTGCTCAACATCCCTGGGTATTTCCCCCCTAAGCAAGAGGCTAGGCAGCATTTTTGGAACTCATTCTACCTGTAAGATACCTGGCTCGTCCCGTTCCCCTACCGCTCTATCCAGAAAGATAGAGAAAGTGCAGCAATCGGGCTAAGGTGGTTTCTAGCCCTGCTGTGCACCAATACCAGGAAGAACAAGATAGTCTCAAGAAGAGGTAGGCAGCACTCTGGTAAGATCCCCACAGTTATACACTGCAGTTCAGAGAGAAGTTGAAGAACTCTAGGAAAGGCAAGTTTTCCCACAGCACAGGATGAGAAAGGACTCCTGATACAGCAAGTTGCACGCTGCCATAAAGAAAATTCTTTAAGTTTGCAACTAATCAATATCATCATAAAGATAAAGAACTGCCAATAACCTATGCAGACATAATAGAAACGGCATAACACATATCAAGAAAAACTTCACATATTGATAAGGAAGCAGCAAGCAACTTCAAATATTGTGGGGGGAAAAAACCAAGTCTTCCTTAAAAAGCAGAACATAAGGAAATAAAGATGGCAGTGGCAGAGGAAACAATGTAAGGAGATGCAGGAGCAGCAAGCTGCGTAGAAATGAGCCACAATGGTCCTCTACGGTTCTTAGTTTATCGATAATTGAACAATTAAACAGTTGATTACTGGTCTTCAATATAGATCAAGTCTCAACATCAAGATATCAAAGAATCCCAAAAAAGAATAAGTGAGACCCAGGGCACCCAGCCCCCCCACTGTCAAGCCCACATCTCCACCAAAGCTCCATGGGGCCTCTGTGGCCAGACCCCAGGGATCCTCTCATCTGGGATGGACAACGGGCACCAGGCCCCAGAGCTGGTACCATGGAGCTTCCACACCACCACAGAATAAACTTTTTCCAAAATAAGTTCCCAGAACCAAGATGGTGGCAGCAAGAGACACGATATGAGGAGCAGGAGGCTCAGCAAAGCCACATGGCTTATATATACCCAAACAGCCTTGCAGGTGGCTGCTGGTCATCAGTGTGAACTGAATCTCAACATCAAGATGATGGGGATTCTTGAAGGAACGTGAGTGAGTCCCACTTCCTCCCACTGCCTACTGCTGAGCCCACACTGCCCTGATCCTATGGAGCTTCCATGGCCGGGATCCATGAGTCCCCTGGCCTGAACCAGATGGTGAATTCTGGGCCCCACAGATGGTATGATGGAGCCCCTGCATGGCTGACGATTGCACATGACAGGAGCCACAGGCCCCAATGCAGGAGGGGGGTGGTGACAGCAGTGGCAGTGCCATGGAGCCACAGGAAGTGAAGGATTTGATGTGGGAAAGCATCTCACTGTCAGTGAAGATTTCCTTGGACAGGCCAGAGAAGATTATCAACACAATGAATGGACAACACTTAACAATAACAACATATCCCAAACTGCAGATCTCCTCAATGCACCACATCTTTTGATTTCTTTGGAGGACAGCTGTATAGCCAATGGATTAGAAGAGGTCCAAATTTGTTCCCATTCCCAAAAAAAGTGATCCAAGATAATGTGGAAATTACTGAACAACATCATTAACATCACACGCAAGCAAAATACTGCTGAAGATCTTTCAAAAACACCTAGAACAACAGTACATAGAGAACTTCCAGAAGTTCAAGAGCCTGTGGCATCAGAGACATCATTGCTGATGTCAGATGGATCCTGATTGACAGAATACCAAAAGAATGTCTATTTGTGCTTTTTTACTATACAAAGGCATTTGACTGGGTGGATCATAACAAGTTGTGCCTGACATTGAGAAGAATGGGAATCCCAGAGCACTTAGTTGTGCTCATTGAAACCTATAGCTGGACCAGGAAGCCATTGTATGAATAGACCATGAGAACACGGCATGGTTTAAAATTTAGAAGGGAGTACATAAGGGTTGTATTCTCTCCATACCTATTTAGCGTGTATGCTGAGCAAAGTAATTGAAAAGCAGGACTCTATGAAGAGGAATAAGGCATCAGGATTGGAGGGAGACTCAACAATTACCTGAGTTATGCAGATGGCACATTGCTTGTAAAAGATAAGGTAATGCAGCCTTCAGTATAGATTGTGTTTCAATGTCAAGAAAGTAAAGATTCTTACCAATGGACTAATAGGCAACATCATGAAGGATGAGAAGAAAATAAAATTATCTACAATTCCTCTTGCTTAGATCCACAATTAACACCCTTAGCACCAGCAGTCAGGAAATAAGGAGATGCATGCACTGAGAAAATCTGCAGTTACGGACCTCACCAAATTCTGAGGAGCAATCATGTTAGTTTGAGGACGGATATGTCTGATTTAGACCATATTCCTTCTGATCACTTGTTTGTGCATCTGAGAGCTAAACAGTGAATAAGGATAACAGAATAATTGATGCCTTTGAGCTGTGGTATTGGAGAAGAGCACTGGACAGCCAAAAGAACAAATATGTCTTGGAGAGGATGCAGCTGTATTTCTCTTGGGAAGGATAAGGTTTGCCTCACATACTTTAGGCATATTGCTAGGAGGGGATATTGCTTTAGAAAGGACATGATGCTAGGAAGAGTGGAGGGTCAATGAAGGAGAGAAAGACCTTCCACAAGGTGGATTGATTCAGTGACTGCCGCAATAGGCTCTTGCATGTCAGGAAATGTGAGGATGGCACAGGATAGAACAGGATTCACATCTTTTGTTCATAGGGTTGCTGAGTTATACTCAACTCGATGGCACCTAACAATAACAAAATCATCTAGATCATTGTTAAGAGTAGATTTATTAAATTTGTCAAATACTTTCTGTGGTCATTAATTATCACAAGTGGAGCCAAACCACACACTATAGAATTTAAGAAGGCATTATCTAAAACGAAACATTATCTAAAGAACATCTGACTCCACATATCTAAAGTAGCCAAATTGTAAGAATATAAGATTTCAATATCCCCATGGAGTTATTTGCACTTTTTCAAGAAAATGTACAACAATAAATGAATGGAAACCCAAGTTCTTTATAAACATTCATTAAAATCTAAAAAAGAAAAAGAAAAATGTAGACCAAGTTCATCCCTTTTTATGTTTCCATTACAGCTCTCTGAACATTCCATTAAAAAAATAGAAGCAAGCTCTTTTCTTCTTTTCCACCTGTTGAAAATACATTCAAGACATTAACTTTTTTTCTGGAAATAAATCTACTAACCTGTGTGGTGCCACAATCACATTGTTCACGATGTTCTAATATCCCATTGCCACATATACCGATCTGAGTAGTTGATCTGGCATCTGGCTTATCAAAAGGTTGGTTCAGAAGACATTCAAGTTCAGATTGTGAAGTCAAAACCTTAAATTCATCCACATTACAGGTGCTAAAATCTTTTATACCTTCAATATGCCTATATAATAAAAATAAAAATATAGTTATGACAAAAATGTTTCACGTATGTCTATTTATTCTCCAATCATATAATACTGCAAGAGACTTAAAAACTTAAATTATTGATTATAGAGAACAACAAGCAACGTTTAGAAAATATTTATTCAAATGTATTACTAATATGTTACAATATAAAATATAAATTCAAGCAAAAAATTTACTGCAGTGGAACATAACACACTGCAGCCTCTTGTGCTATCATTCACTATGTTTTATATAAGATCTATTAAATATCCAATCTATAACTTTAATTAAGCCTTTAAACAAAGAAAATATTATTTTCACTTATCTTTGATAGGTCAAACTATTAAATTCTATATTTTAGTCCTTTAACATTTAATAAGGGATTTTGGTAAGGAGTTGTGCTATCAACCCAAAGTCTAGTGGTGGTTCAAGTCTATCAGCTGCTCCTCAGGAGAAAGATGGACAATCCCTGTGTGGTTTGCAGCCTCTGGAAACCCACTGCAATGTTCACTTTTGAGTAAGTTCCAATTGCACAGCAATGAGAGAAAAAGAATATTTAATATCATTTATACCTTTGATTTATTTTTAAGTATATGACACTTCTGTAAATGCAAATATAAATATGATTGTATTGACTTAAGTTGTATGCTTCAAAATATTAGCATTTGACAATTAATTTTTCCCCAAGATAAAAATAAGTTGCTGTCTTCCAGTCAAGATAAGATAATGCAGACTCATTTCCTCCTGTTTCTCCTCACTAAACACAACTCTGGAAATAATGCTAAAAGATGTCTAACAAAATTCTGAAAAGTGGAAGGGAGAGACAAATTGATTAAGGATCATAGAACTAGAGGAATAACAAAGGGATTAAGTGTCTAATATTTTCCTACACACCAAAAGATCCAGGTTGAATGTATCCAGAATCAAAATTTAGAAGCTACAGACAGGCCTGGTAGGCCCACTTCTACCTCTGAAAGTCCTACTAATACCAAGTTAGCTAGGCCTTGTCAACAAGGGAGATCACCTGGATCTCTCCTAATAAGATCCCATCTGCTTCACTTACTTATTGGGATGTTGTTATTGTTATGTTCCATCAAG